ACACACACACACACACACTCAGGCACATGCAATTATAATGATTTCCAAAGCTTCTCACGTATTATTGCGATTAACAACAATTCTCAGAGACGTTAACTACTAACGATTCTATAGCAGTAATCGGTTAAATCTCGTTAAAACTTACCATCTATGTGTAATAATCGTTATTATCGCAACAGTTATTTTTTTTTTTTATAAAAATTTAATATATTTATCGATATATCATATTATATTATATATTTTCTCTTCAAGTGGGTCATCTCATTTCCCTATTTTAAATTTGATCCAAAAACATTTTATAATAATTAAATCAGTTTATTTTTCACAAGACTTCACAATTTTTAATTTTCACAGAGTGCACTCTGTGAAAACAAATTTTTGGAAGAAAAACTTAATTTTTCAATTTATACAAAAATTACATTCTTTTTTATTTTTCTATCATTTTCATATTGAGTAATTAAAATGTTTTCCAATAAATTATGTAAAGTTTGAAATTAAGATGATAATAGGTATTCAATTTTCTATAACAATTTATAACAATTTTTATAACAATTTTCTAATAACAAGTTAATATCTGAAACTAATTTTGTTTTACCAAACAACACTTAAATGACTAAAAGAATTTCAAAAAAAGTAATAAAGTGAATAAAATCTTTCTAATTATGATAATTTATAATTTTTAATAATTTTATTTATAATTTTTAAATTACAATTTATAATTTTCTCTTTATAGTTTGTTTATATTTTTAATTAATATAAGAATCGATATAAACTTGTAAGAAAATTTAATAATTAATTTTTTTATTTTGCCTAGCAAATATTATCTTCGACATTCCAAAATTCTTTAAAGTACATATCAATATAAAAATCGTCTCCAGGCTTTTATCTAACAGGTATAGATTTTACAAAAAAAAAAATACGATTGGCAAATATTATGGATAATTATATTTATAATTGTTAATAATTTTTGATAATTATTATAATAATTATTTATTCAATTAGCAATATTGAATAATGTTTATCTAATTATTCTAATAAGTAAAGATGAAATTAACAGTCGAAATAGATATTTACCTTGGTAAATTTTGATTTAATTGTAAGCAACATATTTTGCAGGGAAAATCTAGGATTTATCTTGGCTGACCATGTACCAAGTTATACTACTGCAATTATATGAAATCACTTCTATTTTAGATACTAAAGTTCTAGCTCGAAATTCAGGAGTATAATGGAGTACATAATAACTTGATGTTTGGAATTATAATGGGGTGCATAAACTTCATTCGATGGTTTACAAAAAACGTTTAAATAAACGTAAAATATACGTGCTTTCACATAAACAATTCAGTGGATCAACAAGTAAATTTAATCAAATTTCATTCTACTTAAACGTAAGGGAGATTATTAGTAAACCTTTTCATAAACTTCTCTTTAAATATTAATAACCGTTATTTAAAAAATTCTGGAAAAAAAAAATTTTTTTTTTAGAAAAAGCTTCTATTTTTGTTTTTTGAAATGCCCGACAAACATTGAAAATTCTAGTGGAATATTACGATATTCTACTGCAAGCTTTCACCGAAATATCAAAAAAGAATTTACCGAAAATCACCGAAAGCTCTTAAAAAAATATCAGGGTGAGCTTTTATTAGAAAAGCATCAAAAACTTTCAATGAAATCTAAAGAAAAGCTTTGACAAGGTGGTCAAGGAGAGAATTCACTGGAATATCAAAGTAAGCTTCTCAAGTAGTGTAAAAAAAACTTTTACTGGAATATCATGGGAAGCTTACATTGAAATATCAGAAAAGCTTTTCTTCGGAGTATCAAAAAAAGCTTTTATTGACGCACCACAGAAAAAGCTTTTACAATATTGTCAAAGAAAAAATTTGAGAGGAATATTAATGAAAGCTCATTGTAATATTAAAAGTGCTTTCACTGGAATGTTAAGTAAAAAAACAAGCTTTTACTAGAATATCAAGGGAAGCTTTCATTGAAATATCAGGAAAGCATTTCTTATTTTCTTCGGAGTATCAAAAAAGCAAAAAAAAAAAAGCAAATAAAAAAAGCACTACAGAAAAAGCTTTCACAATATTGTCAAAGAAAAAATCTGCCAGGAATATTATTGTAAGCTCAGAGTAGTATTAAAAGAGCTTTCACTGGAATGTTACAAAAAGCTCACACAGAAATATCAACGTAAGTTTTTACAATAATCTTAAAAGCTTTTTCCCGGAATGTTAAGCTAAAATTCCAGAGGAATATCAAGAGAAGTTTTCATCGAAATATGAAAAAAACACTTTCTATCGTAGTATCAGAAAAAGCTTTTTATATAAGCATCGAAAAAAAATGGTTTTTCAAGATTTTCAAAAAATAAAAATTAACTGGAATATCATTGTGAACTCAAAAAAGTAATAAAGATAAGCTCTCAACGGAATGCTAAGGAAAGCTTTTACGGAAATATTAATGTAAGCTTTGACAGTATTAAAAAAAAGCTTTTTTCAGGAATATTAATGTAATATTCCACAGAAATATCAAGGGAAGCTTTCAAAGAAATATTTGGACAAGTTTTTGTTAAGAAAAGAAGGAGAAAAGAAAAGCTTTCATTAGGCGTCGAAAAAAAAGCTTTTACGGGAATATCAACGTGAGCTTTTACAGCAATTTCAAAAAAAGTTTTTCCGGAATATTAAAATAACTCTCTAAATTTGAATTTAGTAAAGAAGTTTACTAATTTTAATTTTGACTGACTTTTGGTTTTTGAATAAATAAACTTTACTAATGAATTACGAAAAAATACTAATTATTAATAAAATTTACTGTTTATTAGTAAACTACTAGTATAAGTACTGGTATTATAAACTTTACTAATAAATTAGTAAATATTACTATTTCTTAGCAAAATTTACTATTAATTAGTAAAATTTTATATTTCTTAGAAAAATTTACTATTAATTAGTAAAATTTTATATTTCTTAGAAAAATTTACTATTAATTAGTAAAATTTTATATTTCTTAGAAAAATTTACTATTAATAAGTAAAATTTTATATTTCTTAGTAAAATTTACTATTAATTAGTAAAATTTTATATTTCTTAGTAAAATTTACTATTAATTAGTAAAATTTTATATTTCTTAGTAAAATTTACTATGAATTAGTAAAATTGTATATTTCTTAGTAAAATTTACTATTATTTAGTAAAATTGTATATTTCTTAGTAAAATTTACTATTAATTAGTAAAATTTTATATATCTTAGAAAAACTTACTATTAATAAGTAAAATTTTATATTTCTTAGTAAAATTTACTATTAATTAGTAAAATTTTATATTTCTTAGAAAAATTTACTATTAATTAGTAAAATTTTATATTTCTTAGAAAAATTTACTATTAATAAGTAAAATTTTATATTTCTTAGTAAAATTTACTATTAATTAGTAAAATTTTATATTTCTTAGTAAAATTTACTATTAATTAGTAAAATTTTATATTTATTAGTAAAATTTACTATGAATTAGTAAAATTGTATATTTTTTAGTAAAATTTACTATTAATTAGTAAAATTGTATATTTCTTAGTAAAATTTACTATTAATTAGTAAAATTGTATATTTCTTAGTAAAATTTACTATTAATTAGTAAAATTTTATATTTTTTTTTTAAATTTACTATTAATTAGTAAAATTGTATATTTCTTAGTAAAATTTACTATTAATTAGTAAAATTTTATATTTATTAGTAAAATTTACTAATCTAAAAGCCAGAAAGAGAACATTCCACAGGAATGTCAAGGAATGTCAAGCTTTTATCGAAGTATGAGAAAAAGCTTCCATCGAAACATCACAGAGAAAGCTTTAAGAATATTGTCAAAGAAAAAATTTCACTGGAATATCATCGTAAATTCAAAGTAGTACTAAAAAAAGCTTTAATTCTAAGGAAAGCTTCCACTGGAATATCGACGTAAGCTTCCACATTAAGTAACAAAAAAAGTTTAAATTAAAAATTGAAAAAAAGCTCTATATCGAAATATAAAACGAAACTTAATATCTAATAAGTTTTCCTCGAAATATCTGTCTAAGCTTTCAGAGCAACATCATTGGAATATTCCCTTAAAAGCTTAAGATAAAAAGTTCAATTTCTTTTTTTGTGAAATAATTTATATTCATACTTTGAGAAGAAAAAGAATTTACATTATTTTAATAATTTTATTTGAATTCATCAATATTTGACATTTTTTTTTTAAAGAAATTATTCCCTATAAATAATTTACAAAAAGGCCTAATAAAAATTTTCGATTTAAGCTCATTAAAGGATACAGAATCAAATATTGGTTATTGAAATTTGCAATAAGGAGATAGTCTTCATTATGCGGAAAATTTGCCTTTCTTCCTCTTTAGTAACATGGTTCTTTTTTTATCATTCTAATTTTATTGAGTTCAGAAATCCCGTGGAATTAATTCACAGCAGACTTCGAGGAAAAAAAGTACATATTTTGAAACTCCTTATAAAATATCGAATTTGTAAAATGCAAAAAAAAATATCATGAACAATTTTTATTCGAAGGCAATTTAGAATTTCTTATAAGCTTTCTCTAAAAGTAATAATTAACTTATTATTAATTAATCAATTATCAATTATTAACTACTATTGTCTATTAATTAGGTTACATAAAGAGAAAAGATATATAATTGATTCAGAGCCAACTAGACTGTTTATTGGGTTCCAATAATTAATAATTAATTATAATTATTCACATCCCTAATAATTAATATAATAATTATTTATTTATTAATTCAACAAAATAATATTTATTTGAATAAACAAATAAATTTTATTTGCTTCAAATAAATGTTTTATTTCTGGAGAATAAAATTTTTATATTTAAAACAAATAAATAATGCTCCGAGATAAATAAACGTTTATTTAACTAAAATAAAATATATTTGGTATAAATAAAATTTTCCTCTTGATGTAGAAAGAGTAAAAATGTAAAAAAAAAAACATTTGCTCACCAAATTCATTTTTATTCCTTAGGAAAATTCCCCAAAGTTATTCCAAATGTTCTCAATTGGTTGTAGCAATTTCATTAACTGAGATGATATAAACTTGCAATGTACTTCTTTCCATTATTAAATGAAAGAAAAAAAAAATCTTTCATCAACAATAAAATTTTCGCTCCTTCATCGACAGTGAATTGTCATTTTAATAATTTTTACTTATCATTTGAATTTATTATTTTTATTACTTTTATCCCTCAATTCATTTTTCTACACATTCATCATGGTGAATAACAAAAAAATTGTTAAATTTTTTTTCTTTATTCCTTGAAATAAATTTATTTTAATAAAAGAAATTTTTTTGGAAATTTTTCATTTAATAATTATGTAAATTTTCAGAATTCCAAAAAATTTCTATTTCACGAAAAAAACAAATCAAAGATCATTTAATTTGAACACAACGGTTCGAGAGCGCACCGTACACTGAAATAACAGACTCTGCGAGTTTTGCAACACTCTGAAAATGTATTTAGCGCAGACGCGTTACTAAAATCATCCCTCTATTCTTTAGAAAAAGGGTCGTAAAAAATTTTCATTGAGAAAAAAAGTACTTTACTTAAAGAATCTCTCTCTGTCTCTCTTTTTCTTTTTCTTTGTTTACTTCGTAATTAATTAATTCAAATCCATAGAAAATCTTAACTTCTTAAGAACTCTCTAAATCTTAGTTAATGGAAAATCGTTCGCTAATTCAAATTATTGAAAACTTCTGTTATTATTACTATTATTTTTATAATTATTATTATTTTATAATTATTATTATTATTATTATTATTATTACTATTATTATTTTTATTACATTCATTTATCATTATTTACTATAAAATTGTACTATCTCTCTAAATTTAAATTAGTTGAATGTTTACTATACTATTTTTCATTCGTGACTGAATTTTGCTTTTGAATTAGTGTATTTTACTAATAAATTAGTAGAAAATACTATTTAGTAGTGAAATTTACTAATTTAAAAGTAAAAAGTCAGCCATTAATTAAAATTATTAAACATTCAACTAATTTAAATTTAAAGAGATTATTTTACCAAAAGTTTGTTGAAATTTTGTACTAAATTTGAATTACTAAATATTAGCAATAACTAGAATTAGTAAAAATATTACTGATTTAAATTAGAAAAAATTTACATTAATTTTATATAGTGAAAAGTATAACTAATTTAAATTTATTAAAATTCCATACTAATTTGAATTAGTAAATATAAGACCTAATTCGAATTAGTTAAAATCTTTACTAATTTAAAATAATTAAAATCTTTACTAATTTAAATCAGTTAAAATCTCCACTAATTTAAATTAGTGAAAATTATTTTTAATTTACATTTCTGAAACTCATTACTAACTTTCTCTCTAAATATTTGAATTATTAAAAATTTTTACTCATTCGAATTAGTGACTGATATTTTCTGTTTAAATTAGTAAAATTTTATTAATAAATTAGTAGAAATTACTATTTAGTAAAGAATTTTACTAAATCTAAAAGAAATGAATAGGGAAATTAAAATTTTAGATATTTCTACTTTTTACTATTTTTTATTCGTGACTGACATTTTGCTTTCAAAATTAGAAAATTTTACTAATTCTAAAAGAAATGAATATAGAAATTAAAATTTTAGAAATTCCTACTTTTTATTATTTTTTTCGTGACTGATATTTTGCTTTCAAAATTAGTAAATTTTACTAATAAATTTTACTAAATCTAAAATAAATTAATATATAAATTACAATTTTAGAAATTCCTACTTTTGCTATTTTTTATTCAGGACTGACATTTTGCTTTCGAAATAAGTAAATTTTTCTAAGAAATTAGTAGAAATTACTATTTATTATTAAAATTTACTTATTCAAAAGCAAAAAGTCAGTCACTAATTAAAAATTAGTAAACTTTTTAAATAATTTAAATTTAGAGAGATTATTCTAAAAAAAGTTTATTGAAATTTTGTGCTAATTTTGAATTAGTAAACATTAGTAATAACTGAAATTAGTAAAAATTATTACTAATTTAAATTAGGGATTTTAGGGAATTACAATTTGAATTAGTGAATGCCTGTCCTAATTCGAATTAGTTAAAATCTTTAATAAATAAAATTAGTATAAATTATTTCTAATTTTCATTACTAAAACTTATTACTAACTTCCTCTCTAAATTTCAATTTGTAAAAATCTTTACTAATTTGAATTAGTGACTGACATTTTGCCTTTGAATTAGTAAAATTTTAATAATAATTAATAAATTAGTAGAAATTACTATTTAGTAAAGAATTGCGTAGAAATTAGAAATTAATTTAGATTCAGAAATTACAATTTTTTACTATTTTAAGTATTTTTCATTCGTAACTGACTTTTTGCTTTTAAATTAGTAAACTTTACTAATAGTAATAAATAAACATTACTAATAATAATTAATAAGTAAAGTTTACTAATTTAAAAGCTAAATTTACTAATTAAAATGCTAAATTAGAGACAATTCGCACTAATTTTATTTAGTGAAAATTATTATTAATTAGAATTTTGTAAAAATCCGTACTAATTTGAATTAGTTAACATTTTTAATCATTTAAATTAGTAAAAATGATATCTAATTTACATTATTATAACTTATTAGTAATTTCAATTAGTTTTTTTACTTTTATTAATAAAGAATTCGTTCTAATTTAAAATTGTAGAAATATGTACTAATTTGAATTAGTAAAGATTTTCACTAATTGAAATTAGTAAAAGTTTCACTAATTGAAATTATTAATAATTATTTTTAATTATTATTACTAAAACCAGGGTTAGTTAAAACTTTTTTTACATGCATTAGTAAAAATTCGTATCTACTATAACTTGAAATAGTAGAAATCTGTACTAATTTGAATTAGTAAAATTATTAAAAATTACTATTAATTTAAATTAGTAACATTAGTAAAAATTATTATTAATTTAAATTAGTAAAATTAGTAACAATTATTACTAATTTAAATTAGTAAACGACTTTTCATTAATGAAGATTTTAATGGATTTAAAGAAAAAAAATTAACAACAAATCTCACGGATTCTTCATTTGCATTTGAATAAATTAAAAAAATAATTTAAATAAAAAATTAAAGAATAATTATAATTATATTTGTTAAAATAGTTTTCAATTTTTCTCCCCTTAGAGAAATTAATGTGTTAATTATTTTCTACTTTCTTTCTTTTTTCTGGAATAACAATTTTTCTTCCCATTTATTCCACAATATTGAAAATATTATTATTATTTGTTTCTCATCTCTCCGCTTGTCTTTTATGGATTTTTAGATTATGCATATTCGAAAAGGGAAATATCCTTTTAGGGAAAAGAACTTAATGTTCCGAAAAAAAATTTACGATCTTTTAAAACGTTATATAGAAATAGAAATAAAGCAAGCGAATTTTATTGTAAAATATGAGTGGCTTATTGTATTTGTGTTAAGCTGGAGAATAATATTCATTTTTTTTTTCATTTCATCCTCTTTTTCTTTCTATAATCGGTTCAAATCTCACGAATATTGCTATGAGAAACATCAATATAATCATCTGTTGTTTCACATGTTGTGGAAAAGCAGCTTTTAGAGTTTAGACAAGATTTATAGTTGTATATAATACACATTGAAAATGCTTAAGTGACATCTAATGATTTTCCACGAGTTTATAGCATGAATGAATTTATTAATTTTTAATTAATTATTTCATGTTGTATATTTAATTTTATAGAGAAAAATTTTTTTTCCGTGTTTTTATAATATTTGCAAATGAGTTTATCAACTTTCACCAAGAATCACAAATTGAAAATTTGTTATTTTATTATTTTCAATTTTTATTTTTGTTTTATTATTTTTTTTTTTTACTTTTTTTGTATTTCATATTTATTTATTTATTAATTTTTCATTTTGTATTTTACTATTTTGTATTTTTTGTATTTATATCTGTATTTGCATTTTTATTTCTCCAATTTCAAATTTTACCCAAATATTTATAATATTTCAAATTAAAGGTAAAAATGTCAACTTTTTTAATTCCATGTGGCCATTTTTGAAAAATTAGTTTCGAAACGAAATATAATTCTAAATGGAATATTTTAAACCTTCTCGAATTATTTCAATCCCTGATGAATTAAAGCGTTGCAGATTATTTTAATCCATTTTTGGTGTTAAAATAATACTTAGCAATATATTTAAAAATTTTGTATAATATTTCAAAAATAAATCTATCGTCCAGTAAATTTTTCAAAAGTATATTAAAATTCAACCCTATAAATGGAGAATAATAAAAAATGATTGTTCAGTGTTGAGGGTCGAGAGAATCTTATTCTTCTTATAGAAAAAAAAAATTTTATATATACAGATTCTCGCTACAGTATTACTCATAAATTTGTAACAAAAAACTATGGAAGCTTCTTTATGAAATAATTTATAAAAACTTGTATTATAAACAGAATTTATTTGAAACCAAACATTGTGAATAAGTTCTACAATTTTTTTTTGTACCCTTACCTTTTTTATGTCATTACCCTTTTTTTCTTACCTTTTTTGCTTTATTTTACTTTTTTTTATCTTTCCTGTTTTTACCTTTACTTTTTCTTCGTTTTGCAATTTCAATCCACAAGTAATTGGAGTCTATTTGCATTTATCTATTGAGGGTGGTAGTTTCTGAGAAAACGTATGAAAAATAATTTACATACTATTTATTTTACATATTATTTTTATCATACATATTATTTTCATTATAAATATTATTTTTATTATACATATTATTTTCATTATAAATTTATAAATACTATTTTTATCATTATAAATATTATTTTTATTATATATATTATTTTTATTATACATTACTATTTATTTATTTACATATTATTTATTGGAAAACAATTGACATGACTTGAATGTTCTTAAAGTTTTTCTACTTATTTTAATTTTTTAATGTAAAAGCAAAAAAAGAAGAGAAAGAAAAAGAAACGAATGTTATGTTCTTATATCAGATATGTTCCTTCGGCTATTATCCCTTGTGAATCCTATACGTCAGGAAATGTTCAGTACTATAAATACCGTCCTTAGGGGATTTAACAACACGAGGATCTGAATTTTATCGAATCGAACTTCTAAAATCTAGAACAATGCTATTTGAAGATAAAAAGAACTTTTATTTTGTTTTTTAAAAAACAGGTGTAATCCGAGATTTTTAAATACAAAAACATTCGTAATTATTTTTAATTGGCGATAAATGTACGGAGAGAGAATAAATATTAAATTTCATAAAAGTAATTTACAAATTAAAAAAAAAATTTTAAACAAAACTTTATTCTCCTTTGAAAAAAAAGAAATATATATTT